TAAGCCTTACAAGGGATAAGGGAAAAATGATGAGAGTTTAAGAGTTGAACTAGGAACCTTACCTAATGTCTTTACTAGCTAGATTGGGTTTTGGGGATATAGTTAAACATTTCATTAGACTTCTTTAAGAGGAAAATAGAATTCAGCATTCCCCAAATTTTTAAGTTTTCTTTTTTTTCTTTGTTGGGTCAAGAACAGATTCCAAACCCTAATTTTACTTGGTTTAAATTATGAAAAATTCTATGGTCCCTTTTGAATACTATCCCTTCAACTTGTATCTTTCAATAAAAATAATAGTTTGGATTTTAAATCTTTGGAATTGTTAATATTTAAGAGCCACTAACATCTTTTTCACTATCTAACAGTGAATTTAACTTGGGCATATGATATCAAAAAGGACCGTAAAATCTCCCTAAAATTATTTTCGTAAGGTAAAATGTTTGTCACGGGTCCAGGCCCCTAAAGTTTGTTGTAGATGTTGTGGATTGCCAGTTGACAGATTTGTAGGGTTGGAATGGGCCAAAAACCCACCCAGTTGGTTCAGTTTGGGTTGGGCTCCTGTCCCTGGAATGCAATAAAACGTTATCCATTCATATTACTCCTTTTCATTCAATTTCCTAAGACAATTAAACTTCTTTTAATTTGAGAGTTTTTGGTCAAATTTTTCATTTCATAAAAAATACGCCAATGTTACATACGAGAGTTAGATCCAATCCAAAACAAGCTTAGTTGAGGTCGGAAACTGGGCAGCAAGACAATGATGGGTTTGGGTTGGGCTGCTGTCCCTCGATGCAATAAAACATCTGATCCGTCCATCATACTTCTCTTGACTCCTTTTTCGTCTCTCTTATAAAAGGGGTAAAAAAACATTACATCTTTTTACTTCTTTTGATTTGATTTTTTTTGTCAAATTTTAGAGTAAAATTTTTATACATTGTGTACATTTTTCAGGTCAAATTTTTGAAAATAAATTTTTGTGTACACTATTAGTATAAATATATTTTACAGTTATAAATTTAAATCATTACCAGATAACATGAATTCAAATTTAAAAATACAATAATGTATTCATAATTATTAGTGTACAAAAATCACTACACTATCTATATATAAGAAGTTAATCCAATTTTTTCATTTGAGATGATCTACAAATCCTTCAATGTTGTTTGCACTGCAATTTTTCAAAGAAAAATTATTACGTTTTCCGTGAACACAGTTTTTAATTATATTTTTACTTCACATATATTAAATCATTATAATAATTTTTCTAGAAAAAATCTAGAAAGATGCAATCCAAATAAAGAGTAAGAGTTAGATTCATAACGATTAATCTTTGATTAGGAGCCAAGTGCCACTCTTTATTTTCAATTTGCAGAACACAAACAATACATCAATAACTAGTAGTACAAGCATAGCATTGATATGACCAAGCACCTCGTAGCTAATGCCTCATTTGAGAGTTTATGTGCAAAAAATGAAAAAGAAAAGACAATAACGTGTCAAATTTATAAACTTGGCCTTCAAATCAAAGGGGCATTACCCAAAAAGAAAAAAATTGACTTTGTTTCCATTTCTTGCCAATTATGGCAAGACAAGGATTCGGACGTTTTGAAAGAAAAAATTATATCATTTTCTATAGGGGAAAGAACAATGTCATAGTTGAGGTGTCAGCCATTACCATTGAAGCATAGCTCCACAGTTTCATGGGGAGAAAGCTCAAGCAGAATGGATGATTTCTTTACGCACAGATAAAATCTTGGAAACTGTTGTGATTGAATTGCCAAGAAGAACTATGTGCGATAAACCAGAAACAATAAACCAAAAAAAAATCAAAAAAGAAATTGCTATTGGGAAAAAAAACGAAGACGAAAAGAAGAAGAGATACAGAGTAAAGGTAAAACAAGAACAGAAAACCAAAAAAAAAAAAAAAAGAAGCTTCTGCTGAGAAGAAACCCAAGACAAAATGAAGAAGAGATACAGAACAATGGTGAAGATGAGGAGGCCGCATGGCGGGGTCTCGAACCCTAAAACGAAGTCATTGGCCTGGGCTGCTAGTATTTATACAAAGATTGGGGGATCAAAGGTTTCCCGGGCCAAGTTTTGTATGACGCTATTGCCCTCATATGCATCTTCTTATTTCCTTTTGAACCCTCCTGCCTTTCATCCATTTTTCTTGGGATAATTTCGGAAATCTCCCCGGATGTTTCTGACAATTTCACTAGCCTCCTCTGAAGTTTGTAAAAGTACACAAACCTCCCCTAAAATTAAGATTTTGATAAAAAGGTTAGTCCAATTAGAAAAAGTAACATTAAAAAAGTACTTTAAGCAGAGAGTTAGAACTTTTATTTCGTAAATACCCCTTATGCATGGACATAAGTCATATTAGTAAAAGAATAAAAATAATTAATAATTAAAAATAATTAATATGCACATTTAACCACTCAAAAAGTTCACATTTAATAAATTAGACAGCACAGATAAGTAACAAAACTATACTAATAATTACAAGATTCGGCAAAACAAACTAGTCATCTTTTTTAACATAATATTTGTTATGATTCTTGTAATTTGAACAAAAAATTTTTCAAACTTTGCCTTTCTTTTCTCTCATTTCAATTTTCTTTGAAACTTTTAAAGTTGTGACAATTGTAAAGTAATTTTATGGAAATAAATGAGACAATTGTAAAGTAATTTCATGAAAATAAGGAAGAAATGAGGGAAAAGAAAGACAAAATTTAAAAATTTTTCTATTCAAAATCACAAGAATCATATCAAACATCAAGTTAAAAGAAATGACTGGTCTATTTTATTGAATTTTGTAATTATTAGTGTAGTTTTGTTGCTTATTTGTATTGTCTAATTTATTAAATATAAACTTTTTGAGTGATGAAATGTGTTCATTAATTATTACTAACTTTTAATTATTTTTATTCTTTTACTAATACGATTTATATACATACATAAGGGGCATTTATGAAATAAAATTTTCATCTTTCTTCTTAAAGTACTTTTTTAATATTATTTTTCTAATTAGACTAACTTTGTTATCAAAACGTTAAATTTTAGGGGAGATTTGTATATAAATACAATCTTCAGAAGAGGCCAGTGAAATTGTCAAAAACCTTAGGGGAGGTTTCTATAATTTTCCCTTTTTTCTTTCATAATCAATAAGTGGCTTCTAGGGAGAGAAAATGGCTTGGTTAAGTCATCACCACCACTGGGGGAGATATATAAGCAAAGTAAGAGAGCTGATCACAAATGAAAATTGGAACAAGCAATTGATAGAGTCCATTTTCAGTGAGGATACAAGAGAAGTACTAAAAATCCCTCCAAGTACATGCAAGGCAAAAGACAGGTTCTATTGTTTTCACTCACCAACTGGTGGGTATACAGTAAGATTTGGGTATATGCTGGCGAGGGAACTGAAAAGAAAGAAGATATCCAGGAGTATCATAGGTGGAGAAAGTAGCAGAAATGAGAGCAGAACAAGAATATGGAAACTGTTGGGGGGGAACGAATGTGAAACATAAGTTGAAGCACTTCATATGGAAATCCCTAAAGGGGTTTCTACTTGTGAATGAAGTGATAAAGACTAGGATGGGAAAAGGAGAACAACGTGCAAGTGTCTGTGGCAATCAAGTGGAAACATTAGAGCACATGTTTTTCTTCTGTGAAAATGCAGAAGCAATATGGAAATGTGCTCCTATAAAATGGGATGGACTGAAAAAGTATAGAGACAACTTCTGGCACTGAGCTTCTGGGAGTGACCCAGAGAGAAAATGGTCATGATCATATTGCTTTAACCATCAATATTTTACGGCAGATTTGGAAGGTGAGGAACGAGTTCCAGTTCAACACAATGAAGAGACAACCAATGACACAGATCAACAAGGCCATATCAGAATGGATAGAGTGCAAAGAAGCACAAACAGCTACAATGGAACAAGAGGAGATCAGAGAGCCTAAAGAAGAAGATAAAAGATGGGTTCCACCAAGGGAGAAATGCATCAGAATCAATATAGATGCAGCGGTACAGACATCAAGAGGGAAAGCTGGATGGGGTATAGTGACTAGAAACTCAGAAGGGAAACTGATCTCCACGTGGGCAATTCCTCAAAAATGTTCTTCAGAACCAACTGTGGAAGAAGAATTAGCCATACAAATGGCCTTAATGAAAGCTAAACAGAAAGGATGGAAGGAAATAAAGATTCGATCAGATTGCAAAAATGTAGTAGGGAAGCTGCAAGAAAACTCTGCTGAGAATGTGTACTGCACTACAATTCTGAAGGATATTATCAAGTTGAAGAACGAGTTTGATGTTTGCATTTTCTCTTTCACTAGAAGAATAGACAATGTAGTTAGTCATACGCTGGCAAATTTTGCTCTGAGCTTGATTACTGTTGTAACCTGGGAAAGAAACTTCCCAACTTGGCTCAATACGCTAACCAAGGAAGATATGATAGAGCAGTTGCTCAGAATTTTGTAACACAGTTTTTATGCGATGAAAGTTTATCGTTTTGGGGGAAAAATAAAGGCATCCTCTAAATCTCTCAAACTACTTCATTTCCATTCTTGATCTAGTATGGCAACGCAAGGCTGTATATTACATCTGCAAAATGGCATTCTATGGAATGCATTCCGAAGATTAATGTTATCACAAAAATAGCGCTACAAATGAACAAACTTACACGGCCTGCAAGTACAATGAAAATATTGAACATAGCAATCCAAAAGAGCATATTTAAGGTAAAAGATTCTTTAACTTGCATCCCAAAATAACATGCTAATATAGTTCGGAGTCGGACATTGCTTGAAGTTAAATCAAAGTATTGGATGCGGATCAAGAAAACTTATCTTGGAACATCTTGCGGCACATTTTATACTATAATTGATCAGCACCTCAATCAGTTGATGATAACAACCTTCCCAATTTTCTTTTTAACTCCAGTCCGGGGCCTTATCTATTTGTAATATAAAAGCCAGGGAAGATGGCTGTGGATGCCCCAAAAGATCACCAAAACAGTTTTGATGTAACAGCTTTTGATACAACTAAATAACGCAAAATCAGGAGTCGTATAACGCTGAATGTCAGAAATGCAAAATCGAGATACAATGTCAAAAATAATAATAATAATAATAATGATACAACAACCATATAAGTTCTCAAAAAACCATGAGGTGGAGAAAGAACACAATTCCATATCTTGTAATTAACTAATATATGGAGTGCCTTTGAATCCTCATGAATGTCGTACAGCTTCAATCATCTGCCCCAAGAAATCCCATTCCAGGAAACCTTTCTGGGGTCCCTGATCAATCATAACTAGCATTCAAGAAATTCAGTAGCTTGTTCCGATTATTTTCTGCCATTTTGTCCTCCTTTGATTTCTCAAGCTTTAATAGAATCTACAAGTCAAGAACACGATATAACCTGAGGCGCCTTCCTGATAATATATATGACAATCTAAAGCTACTTAATGCGAATCAAATGCAACCAGTAGAAAGCAAATCTTTTCTAGCATAAGCATTGAGTCAGCTCATCTGACTTTTTCATATTTCAGTAAGAAGATCTACGCACAATATAGAGTCATGAAATCCTCCTAGACACCAGTTTGCATTAATGTTTTACATTTAGATGACTATATTGTGCTAATTTTAAGAAGCCGGACATCTACCTTTTTGCCAGAGACAGCACTACGACGGACACCGTCATCTTTGTCTCGTCCCAGAAACTGTATTGTACCCAGAATATAAATTAGTTCACAGAGGAAAACAAAACTTAAGCAGCAAATTTCAAAAGGAAATCTTTGAGGGCGAAAAGACAACCTTAGACAGCTGCACAGGGCTGCTACTCTCCTCCTGCTGCTTCTATATATAGCTCCCATTACCAGGATAAAATCCGAGGCAGAAACAACATCCAAGCAAGCCAATCAACCACCCCATCATCATGCCACAGACCCAGCTCCAATTTCGAAGAGCCATTAATTAAAACAGACAGAAAGTATTATAAGAGTCACGTCAAAAAAGTATACACCAATTCATAAAAACAAAACCAATAAACTACCACACATGAGAGAACTCTTAACATGGCTAAGAAGGTTGTTTCAATCACAAAATTAGGGATGTGATCACTCTAATCCAAAGCTGAACCAGTAATCTACCTCTTTGACTTTGTGCTTGTGACGTTTATGCTGATGGCTTTTCCTTTTCTCTTTATCCTTGCTCTGAAAGATCAGAAGCCATTAGAAGGTTACACAATGGGAGAGGAATAGTAACCAATGGAAAGTAAATAAAGTCATTATTCAAGACAACCTTCTTGGGTCTGTCACTCGATTTGTGCCTCTTTGAACGATTTGATGCTTCATGTTCACTATCAGAGGAACTGCAATAACAAAAAATATGGCATGAGACGAAATCTCCAAGTTCCAGTTATAGTTTAATTAAACCAAATAGTAATTCGAAGTCACTTTTTCAATCTGCAGCATATATACATTAATAGAAATTCAAATTCAAGTTCCTTGTGTTTGAGGGGGAAAAGCCAAAGTGCAATATGGCATCATTTGAGAACAACATAATGTACAGACCCTCTAATGCACGGCATAATGAGTTTATTAACAGAGCAGAGAACTTTTAGGTAAGCCTTACAGAGATTGCCTAATAAGTAAGATGATCTGCCCATCTTTAGACCGCAATAAACCAAGCAACCCCCTTTAACATCGGATCAAACGAAAACAGAATTAAAAGCATTTTAAGAAACCTTATAGATACTAGGAAACCTCCTAACTACCAATTACTTTCCAGTTTTTTAATGTAGATTTCCTGCACTTTTGGAACAAGTAAGAGATCAGACTTGAAGCAGGCTTCAGGAAAATACAGTTCCAACTTTTATAGCTAAAAAGAAGTTGACCACATGGTAGTATTAAACAATTTTGAAGAGACTTGTGAAAAATTTGAACTGATTTAGGCTAATGCGATAGTACTGTATTTCCAGTGCAAATCGTATTAAGGAATCTTGACCAAGCTTCTACCATTTCTTGCTCAGTACCAGGTAACCATGTTACCAATAGACAAATTAAAATCAGATCCAATAGAATGAGCACCATCTCATGGAGTGAACAAGTTATTGATTCCTAGCATTCCATGTTTTGTCTGTTTAATATAATTTGCATTCTATTAGTCTGCTCAACCTATGAAATAGTTAATTTTGTGTATCTATCTAACCTATTTGCGTATCTTTATATTATGAGTTTCATCTACTCTTTGCCCAAGGTGGAGAGGCATAAAAATCATCAACAAAATGGCAAAATATAGGCAGCATATTATCCCCCGTCCCCGTCCCTTCTCTTCATAGCAGTATCTGCTGACTGCACCGCCTCTATATTATGAAAGCTTTCTATTCAAGCTAAGAATAGTTGAAAGTATAAAGTTCAAATTGGTACCACCATCTCATAAGGAAAAATCGAAGAAAAATTTTGACAAAGGCAAAGCCGAAAATTTTGCATTGAATTAATAAATGATTTCAAGCAAGTGACTAGACTTACATTCAACTGACATTACAAACACCTTCACAGCAAGTGTCTCCTAACTACAACAAGTGCGTAGGTTGCCCAAGGGGAGCCCACGCTGAAGTTGAAAACAAAGTGAAAGAGAATGAATATCCTTGAAAAATGATATTAAAACAGTTTAGGTCATAAACAACAAAGCTCGTACCCTCAAAACAAGGTTTCTAACCCCAAGCCTAGACAGAAAAGTAAAAAACAATAAACCACCGCAAATACAAGGTTTATATACTGTCGCAGACTGTCAAGGCACCAAAGTGACCTAAGTAATGCCTTTATGAACGCCTCCATTATGCCTCCTTGTATTGCAGCTTGAATTAGCAAGTAGATGACAACAATGGTCTACCTTACCCTAAAGGTCGGATTTCATAGCTAATAGTATGTTTAATCTAGCACTGCTTACTTCCAGCTAAAGAATATTCTTAGATGTTCCTACATATCTATAGCTTCCTTTTAGCTTACTAAAAGCTCAATATTATTTTCAGAACAAGAAGCTAAAATCTTCTCTACCCAACCACCCGTTGCATTTTTCACTGCTTTTTTACAAGGCAGAATTCACGAAAATTAAATGCAACCTTAGAAAAAGAATCTAAATTAAATAAATCACGCCCCCCCCCCCCCACAACAAAAAAAGAAAAAATAAAGAACTACAATCCCCAAAACAACCAAATGCAATCCGTAACATCCTAGAACAAACGTCAGTCTACAGATTTCCGAGAAAAGAAAAATCCAAACTTCATCAAATAACAGAGGGGAGATTTTCTTTTCGAAATAATTAAAATACAAGATCAAAGGGAAGGGTCGAAAAAAAAAATGAGACCTGTAATCATCATCCGATGAAGCGGAAGAGGAGTAAGAAGAGTATCGGTCGGACGAGGAGGAGTGGCGCTTATGACGACGCCGTTTGGATTCAGAAGAGCGGTGGTGGCTTTTCTTGCTGACCTTGAGCTCGTCTCGGTCTTTGTCTTTGTCTCGGCGTTGACGGCGGCGACGACGGTGGCGCCGAGGCGAAGAATCCGACGAGTTGTCCGATGAAGAGGACGCCGAGGATGAAGAGGTGGAGGAGGCCGGCATACTTACGCCAGAGATTTGGGAAGTTCTCTTCTCCTTTTGCAAAATCTGGGATGAGCTTCGACTTTCGATTGGTATACTGGTGAACGGTTGGGACTTAAACGACGTGGTAACAAGGGTTTTGTGCTTTTTTTTTTTTCTTTATTTTAATTTTTAACCTTTCTTTGCTTTGTTGTACCTAGTACAAGTGTACAACTAGGACTGCTATTTTTAATTTTCTAAATTTTACTCCAATGACTGCACTTTTTCCTAAAACGAACCCTGCAAAGTTTTGTTATCTTTAATCAAACTTAAAAAACTAGTAAAAAATTGAATAAAGTTTAATATGGTTTTGACTAGATTATAAGGAATCTAGAATAATGGGAAAAAATTATATTGGATGGCTCTCTAATTTGATGTGAAACTTTAAAAAAGAAATATGATGGACAACTCTCTACACTGTGATATGGATATTAAAACTAATAATGTCATTGTAATAATTGCGAAGTAGCAAGATTTTAAATTTTTAGTTTAACTTGGTGGTGTTTGTAATTTCAACTTCATAAATTTTTAGCAATGTTAGTTTGATTTGCAATACATATTTTCAGAAATTCTAAGAACATATACAAAAATATTTTATTTGTATTCAATAAGTAGATCAATATGTTGTACAAAAGAGGGAAAAGAATGCAATTCCATATAACTTTTTTTTTTATCAAAACGATAACATTTGTATTGATTTAAAACTTGATAATACAAGTATGCTTTACAAAAGGGACAAACTGCCCTCACAATCCTTTCGTGCTAGATATTTTATCCAACCCGGGAAATTTGTTTCTCAATACACATCATTAACTAGCTTCAAAGTGAATTTTGCTAGCGTATGACACACCTCATTTCCTTCCCTATAAATAAAGGAGAAATTGCATTGATCATAAAACTCCCTTAGCTTATAACTAAATGAGACTTATTTGTATGTAAACATTAAATTCTTGAAGGTGATGATGCTTAGACTAAACTTTCATTTGTATAGTGTTTTTTAAAACTATTTTAACCATTTTTTAAATCTCATCAATATATTTATTAGAAAAGTGTCACAATAATTTAAAAAAAAAAAAATCTAAAAGCACCATATTTTGCTATAAATTTCTTTTTTAGCCCCCCTTTTTTCACTTTCATTTTGTTTGTTCCCAAATGAAGATCCTTGGGTTTAAGGCCTTCATGATGATGTAAGTACGTCGTGAGTCAATATTCGATTGAAACCTATTTTTGACATGGGAATAGTGGACCAAAAAGTAGGAAAGAAAGCTTTGTGAATCAAGAGCTCAGTTTGAGACAAAATACGAAGATTCTTATTTACTTTTCTAGCTACAAATTAGAAATCTTGTGCTCTCACTTCTGTTCTTTTGAAAGTGTTGAAGGGTTTTTTTTTTTTGTTTGAAGGAAAAGTGTTGAAGGGTTTGAGTTTGTGTTAATATAGGAAAATTATAGATATTTTCATGGTTAACATACACTGCCTGATACATAATTTACATTTAAATTGTCACATTAATTTTCATGTGTTTTCCCTTGCATGCATTTAGCCACTTTCATGATTAAGTTTAAGTTTTTCAACAGGCAAATGGATGAACTTAATCAAATGAATGCCTCAAACACCCTGCAGACATACTTCACAGTCATCTGTAGGTATAATTTTTATTAACAAATTACAGAACTCTTGTCTCTCTAACAAACTTGTAGCTGATCTTGAATTGGTTTGTAAATTCTTGTTTCTATAATAAAATTTGGGAAAAGCCTATTTGGACTTCATTTTTTCTTATTTGCACTCCCATCATTTTGTTTTATCATATAATTTAATAAATAAAAACTATGTGATTAAAACGATAGTGGAAGTGCAAATAACATTTTCCTAAATTTTATGTATCAATTTTTGTGGTCCTAATTGGCTATGCAAAATATCATAGTGGTATTAATTTGCCAGTGACTAATGGGATGATTTTATCATTAACCCATAACTGAATTATGACCCAAGCAACATATGAATCACTTCTTCTTCTTCTTCTTATGATTCATTGATTTCTCACCCTCGCATGAACTGAGTTGGCTTATTTTATTGGTTAGGAGATGGAGCAAGCTAATTGTTTGTTTTCTACGTTACCTCACATGAAGAACTTATATCCCTCAAAAAATGTCATTTTTCAAATACCTTTCCTTTTCCGCATGAAAACCTATGAGATTTGCCGTATACAGCCAAGACAAGTTTTGCACTTAAAGACTCATAGCCAAGTATCAAAAGGACATTGAAGTCTGGATATTATTAGACAAGCAAGAAACTAATGGTAAAAAGAGATGAATGCTAGTAGCTACTCTCTCTCTCTCTCTCTATATATATATATATAGACACAAACAAAAGTTACTACTTTTTCTCCCCTATGTTAATACGGAATTATGTTATTAAGCATTTGAAATATATGTTCAGAAATATAATGGCAATACATTAAAACAAAAATCTTGATATATATGATAAACCATAAACGAATATAAATTACTACTGTTACTACTACCATATTCCAAAAAAAAAAAAAAGAATATAAATTACTACAAATTGGCCATGAACTTAACATTAAGTGAAGAAAACGAAATTACAAAAGGGATAAAAAAAAATACACAATTGGTTATTTCCAAAAAAAAAAAAAAAAAGTCTTTTTAACTCGAGATTTCTACACTTGATTCCTTCGAGCTGTCTGCATTGTCATGGGAAAATTGAATCTTACAGTTCATTGCGATTTGATCACTGGAATATTCTACCGTCGGATTACAGATGCCAACATGTCACCAAATCTTTGCTATAAGCCGCCTAAGACGTGAACCTGATCTCCGTTTGCGAGTGGGAGTGGGAATGGGAGCGGGAGCTGGAGCGGCAACTGGGCTCAAAGCTGGAGGAAGGCCATAGCTTGTAAGAGGAGGGGCTGCTATTGATGCAGATCCAATGTCTGCATTATCAGTTGCTGCTGGTTGACGGAAATAGAATGCCTCCTTGCTTCTGTCTGAGCCTAAGTCTTTGGTTTCTTCTGGTGCTACAGGGGAGTATTTAACACTGGGATCCTCCTGTGGTGGTGGGTAAATGAATCCAGAGTTGTAGGGGATATGAGCTGATTTTACCCAGTGATTGCCGTCGATGAATTTGGCTGCAAGAAAACGTTCAACTCGAGATGATGGAAGCTCCTTAACACCATTCCATTGAGCACGGAGCATCTTATTGGAGGAAGGTCCTCTGTTGTTGAATTCAGCATAGAAGAGTGTGTCGAGAGCAAAAGAGCCATTCCAGGCCAACCATCCCTCCGGCTGGATCAAATCATCAATGAAAGATTCCATGATGATGGTTCTTGAGAATTCTTTCCATGGACGGCCAAGATATGATTTGAGTTGAAATCTGTATGGGAAATATGCTGGATCGGCCACAAAGCTGCAATTCTGTAGCACCAGACCTGTTGGCTGGCGCGCGTCCTTCCTGCCTTGTGCTGTGACGATACACTGTTGATTGTCCAGAGGCTTTCTGACCTCCAATGTGCAGTTTTGGAGCACGGCAGCACTATCACCAAATACAAAATCTATGGTTCCAGAGATTTTACAGTTGCGGTAGAATTGGCGATAGGTGTGTGCATAGAGAGTATCTTGGAAGCCATCGAAATGGCAATTGTAGAAAATTGTTTTGTCAGCTCCAACACGCACTGCCACGGCTTGATGCTTTTCAGGGCCAGCAGCATTCTCGAACCCAATGTCCCTGGCAATGAAAAAGTCTCCAAGCACAGCTGCATTCAAAGATATTTCTCACAAGATTAGAAATCCAAAAAGGAAAAAGTTACATTCCCATTTGAATTACTGGCGTTGTGTCCTTTGTTTGATATATTATTAGTAAACCAAGGCAATGTATCATAAAAATTGGAAGAAAAAAAAAAAGGGAGAGAATACATACCGACTGTAGCTGTGTGGTAAGTAGGAACTCCATCAATGAAATTCAATTTTCCAGTAATCCTTGTCTTGGTTGGGCCATCACCGATAACCGTCAAATGAAGCAAGTTCTTATGAAAGGTCACCTTCTCTTCGTAGACACCCTCTTTGATGTAGAGCACAAATCGTTTTTCTTCATTTTTGGTGATATTCAGGAGTGCCTCGTTGATCGTCGTGAAATTGCCGGATCCATCCTTGGCAACAATGAGATCAGGTTTAACTTTACTTGGCTTAGCTCGAAGGAGCCTGCGCCTTCCTTCATCTATCCAAGAAGGTAAAATGTCCATACCGTGACCGAGGATATCATCAGATAGGAGACGACGATTTGTGAAGGCAGGAAGTTCCAAACTTGTGAGGACTGAAGAGATGTCATTGATCATGGCAAGACCATTGCTTGTCAGTTCCATACTAGTCTCCAGAGATTGCCTCATTTTCTCTCCTGCATCTCCCTCGGCACCTTCAAAACCATCCAGACATGTCTGTTGATATGTAAGGGCACCACTGAGCCAAACCTTGATATCAGCAAGCATGTCATCTATGTTGCTGAAATCAAAAGTTTGGAACTTGGCAAAAGATCTTTCAAGATCCTCAACAGCCTGGTGTGCAAGCTCTTTGCAGTTTTCAAGAGCCAATTTGGTTCTGGGATCTTTCTGAAGCTCTTGCAAAACAGTTGAGTTCTTGGCTGCTTCGTTGATGTAATTAGTGGTAACCTTGAATGCAGCCTGAATGAGTTCTTTGGGATCTGTGGAATTTCCAGCTTCGGCTTGTAGGGTCTTGATGCAAGTCTCTTTGTAATCTGTAGGTTCACAGATTGTCTGGATGGCCTTCTGGGAGTCAGAAACTTCTTGGTGATTGTAGTTGTCGGTGTCGGAGTTTTGGGTGCCCAAGGTGACGGCAACCACCATAGCCACTAGGACAAGTGAAGCAACGCCAAGAATGGCAAATTTCTTCTTGGCCTGGCCAGCCATATTTGGCAATTGTATAGCTATCAACAACTGCCAAATGAAATCACTTTTCTTATAACTTTTTCAGAAAGGTTGTGGCTAATAGAACGAATTATTAACCTGATGTTCAGTGGA